CCGCTTCGCTCAAGGCCTGGAGTCGCCAGCAAACGAAAGGGCCCAACCACGCCTCGCCCCCGCGCAGGGAGCTCTAGGCGGAGTGGCATCTGCTTAATCTGTCTTACGGCCACCTGTCCTGCTCCCTCGGCCCACGCCCACCCCCGCCCACCCATCGCCTCCTTCGGGCCTCGGCTCGGGGGGGCGGCGAATTAGAACTGGACTTGGGATCGAACAAATGCAGCTCGGGAGTAGCATTCGGAGGGGGCCTAAAAAAAACGGGAGTCGAGTAAAGGAGGGGGGAGTGAAGGAGGGAAGTGCTGACCTGCCTGTCAAAACCTCTACGCCTCTCGCCTCGGTAGCCCCCCTCATTCCAGCGGGCGTCCGATGTCCTCTCGAGCGCTCTTTTCGGTGCCGTCCCTCATTTCCTCCTGGTCCCCTGCGCCGTTGGCGCCGCCCCGAAGTTGTTCCTGATCTGCACGGACTCTGGGTAGATGGCGAACTGAATCCACGTCTTCTCCTCCCCCTGAGCTGCCTTATCCTTGTTCTTCTCCGCGTGGAAGATCCTGGCACTGGGGCCCAACTTCTCGCTGTCGGGCTGCATCGCCGCCTCCTTGTAGTACTTCTCGGGCCTCTGCTGCGCTTCGTCCGTCGTGTCCTGGCCGGCCTTCTGCATCAGCTCGGGCCGCTCGACGTGGTGGGGCAGACCCCGCGCGCCCAAATCCAAATTCTCGTCCGTCTCGGCCTTCCTCTTCGAGTCCTGCGCGTCGGCGTTGTAGTCCGTGCCAGTCAGAAGCCAGACGCTGGTCGCCGACGAATCTGCGTCCACCTCCCCGTTTTCGGTCACCGCCGACTTCCGCTCCACGGTCTCTCTGACGACTATCGGGGCATGAGCTTCGTCGTTAGCTGCAGCAGACGGTCCCTGCTCCCGTCGTCCTGGCGGCCCATCTGGTTGTCGCGACGCTTCGGTTGCGTCTCCACCCTGAACTTCGAGCCCGCCCGCGTCGGCTTCTCCTCAAACGTGCACATACTTCCGTAGTGTCCGAGGAGAGTGTACGAGGAAGTGCTGACGAAACTGGTCTCCATCTCGATCGCGTTGGCTACATATCGGACACTTAAGGGTGGATGGAGGGCGTCGGCTCGAACTGGCTTCTATCCTGAATACTGCAACCCTCGGTCATACACAACCAATCGAAATCGTTGTTCTTGCCTTTGACCGATGTCCTGAAATACTCTGTCTTGTACTATACTCTGCAATTCTGGCTGTTAGACTAGCTCATTCGCGTCGGCGACCTCGCGTGAATCCGTAGTCCTGATCTGTAATCTCTCTA